CCCTGTGACTAGCACCGCAACCAAGTCCAGACTTTAATTCGAACCAGCTCACTTGCACAGTCATAGAAGTATGCTGTGGATCTGCAAGTTTCTCTGACGCTGTTCGCCGTGCAGGTTTCGCCGTTTTTTCCGATTGATCACCAAGCAAACCGTCATCACACCAAGGTCAAGCCAGTCATCCTTGACTTAACCATAGACCACCATGTGAGCATCTTCAAGCAACTGTGCACTCACACCAAGCCTTGTTTGATTTTTTGTGGATTTGCTTGTGGCACCGGTAGTCGAGCCAGGGACAAACGACTCCCTGGTCACCTAGGTCACGGGCACGGACCTCCGCCACTTCGTAACGAGCAGCGCGTGTGGGGCCTTCCAAACTTGTCACCAAACAACCAATGGAAAGTTTCGCAAGCAAATATGATTTACAAATTGGCATTGTGGATTCTTGAGTTTTGTCACAAGACAGGGTGCCTTTTCGCTGTCGAAAACCCACATCGCTCTTGGCTGTGGGCGCTTCTCGCTGACATGTTCAGAGCTTGCAACAACCACGCCTTGAAAGCCTTTGCAGCCACCATGGAACATGTGATTTTCGACCAGTGCATGCGTGGGGGATTAAGGGATAAACACACCAAAATCCTAGCCTCTCCAGGGTTGTTCACACCTCTAGTTGCTGATTGTGACCAATCACACGAGCATGCCTCTTGGACCCCTTATGCTCAAGGTAATCGAATGGTGTACCCCACAGCCACTGAAGCTGAATACCCAGCCTTGCTCTCCAAACGCATGGCTGCCCACTTGGGGCTCACACCGCAAGTGCGCCCACGCTTGAAGGACCTCCTCACATATAGCCTGGGGGCCCAGACCATTCGACATTGCCAGAATATAAGGAATTTGCCTACTTAGACCAACCCGTAGACCTTCCCTCCTACAAGCTTTTGGCGTCTCCAATCCAGGGGGCGAACACCGAGACGCCCGAAAAGGAGACTCCCCAGAAGAAATCTCGAGTTAGGCGCGCGTATAAGTATGGCATCCTTAGAGAACCAGCTGAATTCTTGGAACAAGCCAGGCAGGTCGTGCGTCCGATCGATACTGAGCACTTCATTCATGAAGCAACTCATGAAGCCATTAAGGACGTGATAGCGACCGACCCAGTGACCCCCAAAAGAAAAAGAACTGAAAGCGAGCGTGGCCCCGCAACTTCGGGAACGACTGAAGGCCAAGAATATTGTCCTTTTTGAACACATCTTGAAAAAGTTGGGATACGAAGACTTGGGGGTGATCGACCTCCTCGTGAAGGGTGTCCCGCTTGTGGGCATGCAGAAAGCTCCGAGTGGATACAAGCCGTTAGTGGTTCCTGCAACTATGACCCAAGACGAACTTGAGGCATCAGCTTTGTGGCGAAGGAAGAGTGAGATGGGGGCCAAGTCGGACCTAGCCGCTCCTGATGAGGAAGAGTTGGCGGCAGCAGCTCAAAAGGAAGTGGGCCTTGGTTTTTTGGAAGGGCCCTTCACGGAGTCGCAGCTGGATAGTTTTTGTGGCCATCAGAAGGGGCTCCTGAACCCGAGGTTCGCCTTGCACCAAGGACAACAAAGTCCGAGTGATCGATGATGCCAAAGCCAGCTCTCTGAATACGGCGTACTCTTCCACCTTTAAGTTGCAACTGCAGGATAATGACTACATAGCGGCCATGATCCGTGCGGCCATGATGGAGCAACAGCGACAGGGAGTGTCGGACACTTGGCTTGGGAGGACCCTGGACCTCAGCAAAGCCTAGAAGCAGCTGGCCATCATGCCTGAACACGCCCACCTTGCAGTGGTGGGATTTCCAGTCAGGGGCAAGTGGCAATTCTATAGATCTATTGCACTACCTTTCGGGGCAACAGGCAGTGTGTATGGGTTTGTCCGAGTGTCACAGGCCTTGTGGTTTGTCGTCGCCAAGTTGCTGAAGGCCATTACCTCCCATTACTTTGATGACTTCCCAATGATAGAGCGAACAGCAGGAACCAGAGTGCTTTCTCTTTCCTTTGGGGCCATCTTGGATTTATTGGGCTGGCAATACGCCAAGGAGGGCGACAAAGCGAGTGACTTCGCCCTGGCTTTTGACGCGCTTGGCGTGACTTACACGCTGAACCATGCTCCATCAGGAGGCTTTGAGGTCGCAAACAAGGCGGGGCACATTGAAAAGATATGTGAGCTGCTGGAGGAAATAGAGAAGCGTGGCATTGGCACGGGAGCCCAAGCAGCAGAAGTGCAAGGACTCCTTAACTTTGCACGTGGCTTCTTTTCAACCAAGGCTGTCCGCCAGCTGGTGTCTGCCTTTGCGCCCTTAGCCGACAACCACAACACTGAAGCTAGTAATAGACTGGTAGCCTTGTGCCGCTATGCCCGAACCCTCCTGGTTGCTTTAGGACCCCGATCTCATAATCTAAATGACGCTGATAGTCCTTTCCTCCTTTCCTCATATTCACAGACGGCGCCTTCGAGGACGGTCATGCCTCGGCCGGTGCAGTAATAGTGGACACGGTTATAGGATTCAGTTCGTGCTTCGAAGTCCAAGTGCCTCAGGACCTTTTGGACCTTTGGCTTGAGACCCCGGACCAAGTGATTTGCCAGATCAAGTTGTGGGCCTTTGTGGCCGTCCGGTGGGATCTCCGAGCCACTCTTCTGAACAGGAGAGTCATAGCTTGGATCGACAATGCGGCAGCCCGAATCAGCCTCATCAAAGCTGCCTCGCACTTGCCCAGCATGGCAGCCATGTGCCAAGTTTGTTGCGACATGGAGATACCCTACCCAGCAATCGAAAGAGTGCCGTCATTTTCGAACCCTGCTGACCTTCCTTCCAGGCACCAAGTTTGCAGGGCATCGGAGAGTTTGGGCCGAGCACCTTGCATTGCGATCCGGAGTTGGTAAGGGCAGTCAGGGATGCTACCCAAAATCCCTTCACTGTTTCTCATACCACGGGGGCATAAATCCGAGACACAGTCAAGGAGATATGCCATGTTACCTTGGCATCCCTTATACTTGGTAAACGGATAAAAGATGACTGCGCACTACGTGTGAGACTTCCCCAGACTCAATCGCAATTGAAGCAAGGACACAAAAAGGAATACATATAAAGCTGACAGCCGTCGAAGCCATCGGTTTCGGCTTTAATTTTGAACGGGTTCACGATATTCCTTTTCTACACTCCCTTTTTAAATTATATGAATTATATGAATACCTCCTCTCGTACTAGTCGGTATACCTCTGATGTATCGGCTAAGTCACACTGGAGTTTGTAGGTGAGTAGCCTAGCTAGTAACCACAGGGCGCAATACGAATAAGATAGGTCACTCCCGACAACGATCCCGAGCGGCGCAAGAGAACATCGCCTACCCCCGCCGGCACGGGAACCGCCGCAATTGAGGGACCTCCTATGTGGAGCACTTTTGGGGGCGCAGCTGACAAATGACAGCTGCTGGTGCTGGGCAAATGCTGGACTCCTTTGTACCATTTGGGCCCTGCTTTGTCGAGATGATTTTGGCTCACAACTTCGTCCTGTGCGAGCCTTCCTTCATCGACTTCGAGCCATTCCGGGGACAAGTGTGGCTCTTGCCTTCCCTGACCTCCTTCGACATGCTGCTCAGAAGTGCGTGCCTAGGGATGTTGGAGAGTTCATTTCTGAACTAGTGGACTGGACTGGCTTGAATCTGAAGCCATCTCCATGACATGGGAACGAAGATTTCTTGCTGGATCAAAAATTGAGCGTAGGCAGCAAGACCTCAGGCCATTTTGTGATCTTCCTGCGGGCTTGGAACCCGCCCTGTTGGTATGAGATGGACGATGCCAAACCTGCTAAACAGCACAGCTCCTTGCCAGCGTGGGCCAGCAGCGATTGGTCTTGGTTTGGTTTGCCCGGCCACCTCGGTACCTGCCTCCTCCTTTCCGAGCCTGGGTGACCTGGCGACTCCGGCCGCAGGCATGACCAGTCCCTTGGATACTGAGGAGCCTGATCCTGATGAAATGTCAGAGGACATGCACATGGATGCCATTGAGGCATCCGCCACCGGCTTTTTGGATGCCGCCTGTCCCTGCTGCTGGCGCGCATCACGGATGCGCTTGTGCCTGGAGCTGCTGCGGCGCCGTCTCCACCACCTGCGGATGCCTCGACTCTGCGCCGCTGAGGTAGGAGACCTGTGCAGCCCCTTAGAGTGATTGTTGTGATTTGTGGGAAGAAACTTCCTCCATGGGCTGGCATTTTGTCGACCTCCCCACATAGCCAATCCATCTCAGTAAGATGCTTGGAATTTTGGAATTTTGATGATTTGAATGAATGCAGATTGGATAGAAGCTTGACTGCATAGAACTTTTGGGCCAGACGCCTGTTCGTGCTATAGCTACAGAAATGTACTCCACCGGAGTCCGCCGGCCACAGAGCCCGCGAACGGCTGCGCTGCCTCTCTGGACGCGTGAGAAGAAGAAGTTGTTGTTGTTGTTGTTGTTGTTGTATGTACAATGTACTATCATTCATGAATACAAGGATTTTGCATGCTTGATGGCAATGATGGACTGGAACAATTTTTTTTTGGGGCGAGTCCACTGGCGTCAGTGTGCCCGTGGTTGTTTGCATCCAATCATTTCATTTCCAACGTTTTCAGGTTGCGTTTTCGTCCCAGGTGTGGTTGAAGCAGACCCAGCAGTGAGAGGGGTGAGCTGGTTGCTGGTGGCTGGTGCGCCCCTTCCGTTCAGTGAAGTGAAGGCAGCCGAGCAGAGAATGACAGCGATCGGAAGATCCGAACTCGGACCATTGGACTGAAGGGCTGGCCTAAAAGCATTGGGGGCTTCCATTTCAATCGATGGATGCTTTCCAAGAAAAATTTTCCAAACGCATTATATGTTGGAGTTTTTGTTATTACATGTTATTACGGTTTGCTGGCCAGCATGGGGCCTCCTCAGGGGTTGCAACCTGTCCAAGCAGCGCCCTCCGTGCAGCAGGAAGCCAAAAGACGGTCTTCCATCATCGTCCTCAGGCGGTTGAGGAATCGAGAGCCGACCTTTCACCGTTCGCATTGGCATGTCATCCTTTTCATCACGGAGTTTTGGGCTCCAAGATTGTGAGTGTATAGATTTTGACCAAGCATGTGTTGTGTCGTCTGCCGCTTGGTGCGGGTGGCTGCTCTTTTTCAGGCATGCCTTGCCCGCACCTGCTTCAAGGCCCCCGCCAGTGCCAATGGCTGGTATGGAATTCAATGGCGTGAGCATCCCTACGTTGGTACGGGGAGCTATTTCGACTCCGTATCCTTTACCGCCATGACCTGCACCATGGGAGTCTACGTGAACTGGATCGAGTATCCCAACAGTGGTTGGGATTTGTCCAAAGATGAACATGGAGCAAGTCCCAGATGCAGCGGCCAGGTTTCCCCAAACCAAAACAGCACCATCACCTGCGGCAAAACAGGTCTTCACTACACCGTTCATCCCGCCGTTTGGGGGGAGTGCAGCCGAGCAGAGATTTGCGATGTGCAAGGCGTGTCGCATCTCCAATTGATAACAGGCACTCAAGTGGACTATGAATGGAGTCCCGGGGAGTGGACCACTTGCTCTGAAACATGTGGCCCTGGCACCAAGACCCGCAGCGTCTTGTGCTCGCCAGAGGATCCCGGATACTGCCATCAAAATGAGAAGCCCTCGACGACAGATGATTGTAACCTCGCAAGCTGCCAGTGGGAAATCCAAAGCTGGGGTGCGTGTTCGCATCTCTGTGGGGGTGGCGAGCGGAACAGAAATGTCACATGTCCACGAGATGATTCTTTTTGCATTGGCACCAAGCCAGATACCACAGAGGCCTGCAATGAGCAATTATGCGAGTGGGACGTGCAGAATTGGAGTGCTTGCTCTCAAGATTGTGGTGGTGGCGGGCGGAACAGAAATGTCACATGTCCACGAGATGATTCTTATTGCATTGGCACCAAGCCAGATACCACAGAGGCCTGCAATGAGCAATTATGCGAGTGGGACGTGCAGAATTGGAGTGCTTGCTCTCAAGATTGTGGTGGTGGCGAGCGGAACAGAACTGTCACATGTCCACGAGATGATTCTTATTGCATTGGCACCAAGCCAGATACCACAGAGGCCTGCAATGAACAGAACTGCTCCACTACAACGGAGGCTTTTGCTGGTGAAGCTGATGATCCGAGTTCAGCATCCTGGATGAACTGTAAGCTTCGTTGCGCTGTTCTGTGCTGTGCAAGCAGTTTGTGGTTTTCAGCTTACTTGCGATGATGCAATGCGGCACACCAGTCTTGACAAGTTGTGTTTTGGCTGTTCAAGCCAAATAGCGTGCATGTTCTTGAGCTTCTCGCTGTTGTGCCATCAACTGTTGAGCACACACACAGAGTATAATAGGTCAGGTGCCCAATCCGTCAATGCGACTTTGACCTTGGTTGTGTTCGCACACGGGATCTGGGAGGAATGTGGACGAGCTTTATGGTGATGAAGTAGAGTCAGAACCTCTAAAGACCACACAGCCTTGTGAGTCCAAAATCATCGATTAATCGACGCCGTCGAATCGATCCTGGGCTTAGCCGCTCGCCATTGACAACCTATCGATCGCAGCACATGGATGGTCCTCCTTGCATGAAATTCTGAGTTGGACAGAAAGTCCGCATGTCGTTAGTGGGGTACACACACAAGAGAGTTGAGTGCGCCCGGCTCGAGTATTGCCACCACCCGTGAAGACCTAGCAGGTAAAATTACACTGGGTGAAACAAACACGCATGCAGTGGGGTCAAACCGTATTCAACTTTGAACGGCTTGAAGCTTGAGAGGCTCCAGATGTCAAAGTGTCTACAACGTGAAATGTAGAAAACGAAAGCTCGAAAATGCATCAGTGCATACCTCAGCATCATAGCTTTGTTTGACACGGTCTGCAATCTGGTACCGTGTCCCACTGCTGCAAACCAATAAAAGAAATCGAAAGCGCCCGTGATTCCAAGGTGGTCACACGCACACTCACGCACTTTGCAATCTATGTGGGCTGGTGTGTAATATGCTGGGATATGCTGGGCAATACATCTATGCTGGTTCCCGCCAAGGTTTGTTCCCGCCAATCCTGTTGTTCAATCAACATGCTTCATTCATGACTGTTTGTATTGCGTGCAAGACATTTTTTTCCAATAGTTTTTCATTGCACACCCTCTTGTTTTGATGAATCAAATGTTTGGTTGTACAATTTTCCAAGTAGTGCTTGATCTTGTTCTCTTAGACGACTTCGACATTTGCGACCGCAACTGGCACAACATTGAGCAGCCGCGCGACCACCGCAAGTGAGGAGGCAGGGGTTGGAAAGGGAAACATTTGCTTTCCAACTTTCTCATGAAGGAATGAACTGTTCAACTTTCAAACTCGAGCAGCATGCGATCAACGACATCGACAGTGTTCTCTCAGGCCTGAGTCAGCTGGACTGGTCACTCACATTGAATGGGTGTTCATGCCGAAACCGAGAGCTTCCAAGGTGCTCGTGCTCACTGCTAGAATACGTAGAGTGAAGAGTGTGGTATTGGCCAAGAACTAGTTCAGGTAGTTCCTGCATACCTGGGATCATTTGCTTCCCATGGCATCAATCTCTTTTCGGCTTGGGCGTGTAGAGCGCTTTGAGCTAGCCCTTCCTTTTCCGCCTTGTGTAGGCCTTCTTGGGGTCTGTGTGTCCTTGTCCAGGCCTTGTGGGTCTGTGTGTTTGCTTGGCTGCGCCGTGGGCCTTGCTCTCACTGTGAACCCCTTCTTCCACCTTGTCCGGGGCTTGTTGGTCTGTTTGGCCCCGCCCAGGCCTGCCAGGTCTGTGTGTCCTGCTTGGCAATGCCGCCTCCTTTCTCCACCTTCCCGGGTCTGTGTGGCCGCCTTCTTCTTTGATTTGAGGTGGTCTTGCCAAGCCACCTGGGATAAAGCCCACTTCCGCAGCTGCGCAGGATTCCGCAACTAGGATTTCGCAACGGAGACGTTCTCGACAGTTCGAGCAGCAACCACAGGTCCCGAGCAAGCAAAAGCAAACGCAGGGTTGGGTGGGGGGGACAATCGCGCTGGGTGGGGGGGACAATCGCGCTCGTTGGAATTGCAACCCAGACTTTCAGTTTCAGAACGCCAGTTGCAGAATCTGAATATCAACTCCAGAACGCCAGTTGCATAATTTTACTTTCCAGTTTCAGTATACCAGTTTCAGAACACAAGAACCCAGTTTCAGAATCCTAGTTTCAGAACTCCAGTTTCAGAATGCCCGTTTCAGAACCCTAGTTTCAGAACTCCAAATTCAGAATCTGACTGGTTAGTTTCCGAACCCGGCTCTAACCAGGCACCTGGTCAGCGCCAAGGGCTCAATGAGGTCTTAGTGGCCGGTCTGGCGCATTTTGGCTGCAGTTGCAGATGTCAACTGCATGTGCATTTGTCACTGCTCGGTCTTTCTTATTTTGCTTGATGACTTTCTATTTTGCATGTGTTGATGACCAAATGTTCTCAGATTGTTAGGATTGCTGGTCTTATTGCCGCTGGTATTGTGGTCTATTGCTGCCACCGCTGCTGCCGCCCAGACGCCGCTTGTTGCTGCCATTGCAAGAAGCAGGACCTGCTTGCAGTTTGGTTGAGGGTGCGCTGCATAGTCTTGTCAAGCTCTAGGTCCGAAGGCTTGAAATAGCATAGTGCGGTCTTTATATCTAAAGTCCAAGGATCAAAGCACTCTTCTGATTCTTTGTAGAAGGGTACACACACAAGGACCCACTAAACACTGAATTACTAATTTACTAGAAACAATGAACCTAACTGGTCAGGGTTTCCATTCCACGAATCATCAACGCCCACCTCGAGGATGAACGGGTCAGGAAGTATCGTCGTTGATCAACTGCCTGCCGCCTGCCCCGCACATGCATTCCACTCCCCCACTTGCTGGGAGTCTTTGGCTAGTGCTTCGTCATGCATGACTATTGATAATCATCCTGCATGGTCATTGAGTATCCTTGATCATCTGAACCGACAGGAGGACGATGTGGTTAAGGCACCAGGACAGGAACCAGTGGTTGTCAAGGCGTGAGCGCACGGGTGGGAGTGAAGGACCAATAAACTGCGATTCTTGCCGTGGAATGGGTGCGTTTTGAATGTGCAGACATGACTGGGGCTCACCTAGTGGTCACTGAAAAAAGTAGATCCAAACAGGGGTCGGGTTGGTGGTTGTCGCGGCCTTTTGTTTGATGTTTTGCTGAAATCTGGTAGAGTGGTTTTGACAAGTTCACTCTGGTGTTGGTTGAGTAGGCGTTTGCTAGCAATGAGATTGCCTCGGCAAGCTGCTTGGTGAACGCCAGAAGGATGAACACCTTTCCACTCAACTGGCCAAACACCCAGCTTCACACTGACAACGTTTGTACTTGCGGTTGCAGCTGGTGATCTCAACTTAACAGCATTTCGTAGTTTATCCAGAAGGAAAGACGTGACCGGTCACGAACCATTGCGCAATGACTGCTTTCAACAGCATTTCATTGTCTATCCAGAAGGGAATTCCTGTTCCTGGCCTCAGAGGAATCGAGTTGTCCATATAATACCCGCATGGGCGTGTGAGTCGCGCAAGTCTAAAACGGCTGCAAGAACGAAATCTCCTCCACAACCCGGCTTGGTGGGTCGCCCAAGTTTGACGCAGAGGCGGCTTGCGCACCAAGCTAAGCAAGGAGTTTCCACATTTGCCAGCAAATGTTCTTTCCAGGTTTTGTCGCTTCTACTGTATATCCTGCGATGAGAACTTCACAGATTGCGTAATTGTGTATGGGCAGCCACTGCGTATCGTTCATTTTGTCCAACGAAGTGCTATTTGCCATGGCTTTTCCATCTCTCAGTTAACTCTAGCGGCGCTTTTGCTCCATACTCTTCAACAGCTTTACCAGGAACAATGACAACGCTACCACGTGTTGCATCACCAAGTTCATCACCAAGTTCATAAGCTCCATCAGTAAACACCAGCGTGGGTCTCTCATGCACATCCGCTTTCATACTTCTGGGGCTCGCGTTGCGTGCCCACTTTTGAGCGCATGAGCAACAAGGGAGACTTTGGAACTTTCTTGTTCTGCATGGTTGCATCGTGCGCAAGCCACAAGTGGTACAGAAGAGATTGACCTACCGTCCCATCATGGTGGCGCATCTTTTTTCAGGACACCGCCGGTGTGGCGATCTTCATATGATGTTAGAGAATATCCACATTAACCACCACGACTGGAAGTGAGCATCGAGGTAATTTTCAGTGAGGGATATTTTGCCAAACGCGATATTCTTTACAGTCTTTACAAGTTCAAGCAGGCCATTGCTTTGGGCCTTCTGGTCGCAATTTCCTGCGGTTCGCGGCGTCAACAATGGAAGACCTGACATCATCTGCGCAGGGGCATCTCTGTGGTCTCCCGGCAATGAAATTTTCTTGGCGTTGCTTGGAGGTTGGTCATTGTTGTCCTGATGCACCCAGCATTCTGCTTGATATGGAAATTCACGCAGGCTTCTTTTCGCCGAAACCTACAATGCTTGTCGCGGTGAAAGAACGGCGTGGAAGATCACCAAAGAGCAGGGCCACCTCCACTGGGAAAAAACTTCCACTGCGAAAGACAAGTCTGGAGCTTGGAAACCAGCATACCAGCCAAATTGAAAGTTGTCTGATTGAACGGTTTTTCTTCGGAGACTTAGTTTGGAGGTCTTCCGGGCTCTCAACAGCAATGAGTGCCATATGGGACGAGATTACTGCCCCCAACCTAGCGCGGTCTTCTGGCTTGACGAATGGCTGCTTCACACACAAATATCGTTGAGAAGAAGAAGACACCCCAGGGGCTCACGGATGGACCTACCATTCTTCGGGCAAAACCCGACCAAAGATCCCTCGAATTACTTTTTTCGGAGCAATGTGGGTTTGATGATGTTCGACAAGGGTGGGCGGACAACCGCACAGTGCCAGGAGAAGCGTCGCGCCCGCAGTGGTGCTGGCGACACTGATAGCTCGCGTCTAGCAGCTTGGATGAATAAGTTGCGCTGATTTGCGTTGCGCAAACAGTTTGTGTAGCACACCAATGCTCGCGCAAACGTTCCTTGCTGATAATCTTGTTGCAACAGAAACGCTGTTAGCGATGCTCCAACCTGGACAGCATCGTTCAGTACGGATGGTGCTGGTGTCGGACTGGCGTTTTAGCAGTCTCATAGTAGATGCATGGAAGAGCTTTCCGACAGTCGTGACATGTTAAAGGTTCTTAGTTACACCACTGGAACTTCCTATGAACCTGCGGATTTGTTGGGTCACAACCAGCAAAATTTCTTGTAGAAGACAACGAACAAACTAGATCAAACCACCGTTCAGAACACGTTAAAATAAACGGACACCTGCTTGACAAAGTGTATCAAAATTCATCAGTTCTCTCATGCTCCAGCCCATTTGCAGTCACAGGCTTTGTACTCAGTCAAATCACATCACAGCCTCTAGCAACGGTGCAGAAGGCACATATATCGTTGACCATGTATCAAAGAACCATCACAGTCTCTAACAACTATGCAGAGGGCACATATTTCGTGTGACCATGTATCTAAAGAACAAACTCTGCGCAGGACCGCCAATTGACAGCGCTCGTGTCAACCTGCTGCACTGAGTACTGGTCAGGTCGAGCTTTGTAGGAGATAATAACCAGATGTTTGCTTTGATCAATGGATTCCCAGAAACTCCAATACTAGAAGCATTGCGCTTGGTTTTTCAGCCTAAGTTTTGCGCCTGGCACCAAGGCCTGATGATGTGATTGTAACTGTAGACAAGGACTTGCCTTTGGGAGAGGGATCACAAGTCACCGCGTTTTCCGCCAGGTTTGACGGTGGCAACTTGCGCCAATATCAGTCATAAACTTGCAGTCTTCCTGCCAAGTGCAAGACTTGACAGAACAATTCACGGAAAATTGCACTTTGGGAAGGAACAACTAGTTGTGTATGGAACATGCAGTCGTATTTGGGTGGCAGGGTGGGTAAGGTCTGTGGTCCTTGACATTTTGGCTCAAGGACCACACCCTTCCACTTTCTTTTTCTTGCACCGACACGTCATTGGTGGTGGAAGGGGTGCATGAGTCTGGCACCCACCGGCCTACACACATTGCAGCCGGTGGGGAGCTTCACGACGGCCGCGGTGGGTTCCAGCCATTTGGTTGAACTGCTCGTGGCTTTGATCGTGGTGATCGTCACCACGTGCTGGTGCTGCATTCGAAGAGCGTGCAGGTCGTGCGGAACCAGACGACTGAGCATCCAACTGCCTTCAGGGTTCGAAGTTAGCATCAATGGAACCGACTGAAGAAGAGCGAAAGAAGATGCTTGGCATGCGTGAGGTTTTCACCTTCGCCGGACTGGATGAGGCACATCTGGTAGACGACAAAACGGTGGCTGGATCGCTGGCAGCTCTCCTAGGAGCTAAGCCAGACACGAAGCCAGCAGCTCTGGGTATTTTGTCGGAGGCAGACTATGACGCAGCCGTCAAAGGATGGAAGATCCCTGCTGCTGGTGGTGCCGCGAGGCAGCCGACGTTGACAGAGCTGGGACAGGCCAAACTGATTGGCCACGTATGCAGGATCGTCGCTGGCAACGGTGAAACTATAGAGGACCTCAAAAGGAAGGCATCGGCCATGACATCGGCTTCACCGGGACCAACAAGCCCGAGCACGTCTGCTGCTGGGAGGAAGATAAAGCTCAGCAGTGTGATCTCACAGATCGACGACACAGAGATCTTGTTGGACGAAGAGAAGGAAATCCTGAAGGCCTTTGCAAGATATGAGGTCGTCTACGGAAAGGGCGAACGCCCCCCAAAGGAGAGTGAGCCAACTACGGAACAGATAACTGCAGTTCGGCATCTGCTGGACCAGGGCAGTGTGCCGTATGTTGATTTTGCCATCTTTGGCCCCTATGGTATGCGCATCATGAAGAAGGTCAAGCTCTCAGGCGTGATGCTGGGGCGTGATGGATCTGTCAAGAGCCAGGAGTTTCACGGCCCTGCCAACATATCTCACTGGATTGCATCTTACACGGTATTGCAAAATGTCCTAGTGATGCTGGATGCTGTAGACCTTGGAAATCTCCTACGATACAAGTCACTCATCGAACGCTTGCATGACAAGTATGGTGAGAAGGTCTGGAGTGTCATATACCAAGGTGAAGTGAGATGCAGGTTGGAGCACATGCCCAGGCTCAAGAGGATCGCACAAGCGGAGTATGACCAGACAAAGGCGTCGGGCAACCCCACACCTGTGGGGTATGAACCATTGAGGCCATGGAGCTATGTCTGGGCGAAGGCGGTTGAGGACCTAGAGTTCTGGCGAGAAGAAGTTGTGGAGACCTCCTACCTGATCTTGACAAGGATCACCAACACGGCAGAGGCAGTTGAAGGAGATGCAAGAACTTCACCGCCGGGATTACATCCGAGAGAGACAACACCAGCGCCGTGGAGAATGGGAGCCGGTGCAACCTCGTCCTCTCCAGCCTCACCGGATCCACCCTCAGCAGGACCTGAGCCGAGGGTCAGAAGGGGCAGTCGAACCGGCAGGTTCAACAATGTGGCAGATGGTAGATACCTCACAAACAGGACGGGCCACAAGTTGTGTGCGGACTTCAACAAGGGCACGTGCACCGAGGTAACGCAAGGGATCTGGTGTCAACATGCATGGGACTCGGTTCATCAGTGTGAGCGATGTTTGGGGTCTCACTCAGCTTCGAAGTGTCCGCATGCCGAGATGCCTGAACCAGGATTCCTGAAGAGATCATCGAAAGGAAAAGGCAAGAAGGGCGGAGGCAAGAAGGGTAAAGGTGGCAGAAGGCCACCCTACTGACATGGAGCTTCCGAAATGCATGAGGGTCGAGAGTTGGAGAAATCTGATAAACTTGACCCAGCGCAGAATTCGGTCGTCGGCAAGTCAGATACAGAACACAGACTGGTTGATGGCAAAGTGTTGTATCTTTACAGTGGACCACACCGGCCTTCAGACGGTCTTGGCAGATACCTCAAAGATCGTGGCATTGAAGCGACCTATGTGGATAGAGAGATCAATGAGCTGCATGATCTCCTGGATCAAGACGTCTGGGAGAGGATTGAATCGAATTTGTCTATGTACGATGGTTACATGATTTCACCACCTTGCAGCACCTTTTCACCTGCAAGGCAAGGCGTGGGAGGACCGCAGCCTCTGAGGTCGACAAAAGGTCCGGAGGTTTACGGACTCAAAGATCTGGCGGCAGAAGACAAGCAGAAGGCAAGAGAGGGTAACATCCTCGCGCTCAGAGCTCACCGAACGGCTTTGCAGGCGCATAGGAGCAGGAAGCCATGGCTACTCGAACAGCCGCATGAGAGGAAAGAAAAGACTTCCATGTTCAAGCTGGATGAGTATAAAACGTTGATTGCAATGGATGGAGTGCTCAGGTACACATTTGCACAATGCAGGTTTGGGGCACCTTCAGAGAAGCTGACAGATTTGTTGAGCAACATTGAAGGTTTGTCTGAGTTCACAGTGTTGTGCAATCATCCAAGCAGGTGGTGGAGAATTCCGTGGAACGGAAGGTGGATCTATGCTGCGCACCCTCCGTTGAAAGGCAAACAGAGGGCTATCCCGGCGGAGCAATGGAGACCTGCAATGCTACGAGCCGGAGAACCACAAGGTGAGTACTTGACCAGACAGGCAGCTGCGTACCCTAAGAAGCTCAATGAAGCCTTGGCTGCAGCGCTCGCAGGTGCAATCAGCAAGATGAAAGACAAGAACAAACATCCAGCAGGCAATACGGATAACAAACGACCGGCATCGGTGACAGACTGGGACCCAAAACCGCAGAAGGCATTGAAACTGTCCGGGCAAGCAGAACAGCAGAAGAAGCAAGATGATGTTCGAAATAGCCTGAGGAATGTCCCGTTGTGGATCACGGACAGAATGAAGTACATTGGCGTGCAAGTACGCAACATCATCGAGAAGCACCTCGATGGCGACCAAGATGCTGAAGACCAGCTATGGCAGAACATCGCACGGCATCAAAGCCAGGAGGACGTGACCATCCCTGAACAAGCAGTATCACTGATGAGGCAAGACATCAAAGAGATGTTGATTAGGAACTCATCTGGTGGATTGCCATCCGACCTGTCGATCGACCCGGTTGACAGCAACAATTGCACGACAGTCATTCGTGCTTATCTGTTAGAAGCCTGGGCACAGGTCGTGGAAGATCCGGCGGCGGCAACCGTCTCTTGGCTGTATGCAGGGGCACCGGCTGGACTTCATATGCAGTCTGAAAGTCTGGATGGAGTCTTTCCGAGAGTGGACGATGACATCGAGCTCCTTGATGTCCAAAGCCTGGCTACAGATTTTGACAGCTTCAACAACTATGTCGGAGTTGAAGAAGACAGCGAGGCCCTGGAGACACTCGAGAGTTATCATCGAAAGGGCTACTTGTCAAGATACGACAGCCTCGAAGAACTGGAAGCAGAGCTCGGAGACAAGCCCGTGTTGTCGAAACTGGCTTGCCTCAAGAAGTTGAAGTACAATCCAGATACGGGGCAATACATCAGCAAGAGCCGCATCATCTTGGACTGCAGACGAAGTGGAGTCTCGCTCACATCAGTGAGAACTCACAAGAGTGTCCTGCCAAGGATCACTGATGCAGTCGACTCAGCACTGACACTGATGGACCGTGCAACAGAGGGTCAAGGTATCACTTTGTTCATTGCTGACATCGTGGATGCCTTCTGGCTGATCCCACTGCATCCGAAGGAGAGGAGGTTCTTCTGTGCAAAGCTGCGGGGAAAATTCTACCTGTTCACTCGAACAGCGCAGGGATCACGCATGGCACCCTTGACATTTGCTGCGATTATGGCACTGGCGTCACGCTGGATACAGAGTCTCAGTGAGGAGTTCCAGTTGCAGACATATGTTGACGATCCGCTGGTGATTATAAAGGGCACACAGCAGAGAATTAGAAGACTAGCCGTAATCATCGCGGCTGCATGGCAGATCATGGGCTTCCCGCTGGCATTCCACAAAGCAACACTGTCGAACAAGCTGACGTGGATAGGTGTGCAGCTGGAAATAAGACAGGCAGCAATCATTGCAGAGGTCACTGAAGCAAAAGTGGGGGAGATCTCACAGCTGCTGACTGAAGCACTGAAGCACAACCTCGTGTCGGTTAAGAGCTTGCGCACAATCATTGGCAAGTGCGTGTCAATAGCATCAGTGATTGTTGTGTGGAGGCCTTTTGTCCAACAACTGTATACGGCCTTGCATGCTGAAGAGACACATGCTCCCTCGGGATGCGTCTGGACCAAGCAGATCGAGTCTGCGATCCACTGGCTGCTCACATTCTTGAAAGGTGAACAGGCCGGCATTTGCAGAGAGTTTACACTTGCTGCCTTTCGTAGGCAGGGGCCTGTGGTGGTCATCACCTGGGATGCTAGTCCTTATGGCATGGGAGCGACCCTGCAAATCCAGGGACAGTTCGTTGAATTCTTTGCCGTCCGCATCTCACAGGCGGATCAGGACATACTAGGAGTGCAGGCGGGTGACTGCAAAGGGCAACAGGTGTGGGAAGCGTTGGCCGGACTCATTGCGTTGAGGCAATGGGCAGTCCACTGGCAGCACACGCCAGTGGTCCTCCAGATCAGAAACGACAATGTTGGCGCATTGTCGCTGTTCGCCAACCTTAAGGCAGGCTCCCGAGCCTTGAACTTGATCGCCAGGGAGTTCGCCTTGGACCTGGGCCAGGCTACGCGCAGGCCACAGTTGATCACACACATCCCGGGCCTGA